TTTTTTTTTTTTTTTTCAAAAAAAGGGCCCCCGTCCCCCCAAACCCGGGGAGGGTGACCCCAAAAAAAAAAGAAAATCCCCAAAAAGAAAATACTTTCCCTCATCATTCAACACTTTCAAACCCCACTCGCAACATTAACACTGTTTTTTCAGAGGGGCTCAGAATACAACAGTCTTTGAAGCCCAAACATATAAAAGGGTACACAACATATCCCTCCAAAAAAAGCCAATATCCCAAACCCCTCCCCCCCTTTTTTAAATGGGAGGCATTGTACTTCCCATTTCCAGGACTCAATCCGACTATATGAAAAATAACCGGTTTCCCGAATCCCCCTTTACTAAATATTACCCCCTCCTCACACCCAACAGATCGGGCAGGGCCCAAGTAACCATTCGTCCCCCATTTTACTCCTACTAACAAAATATAAAAATATATAAATATATAAAATATATAATTATATATATAAATATATATATAAAATTTTATAAAAAATAGTAGGTTTTTTTTAAAAGCCAAAACCCCCCAGGAGGTACTACCGCCTGGCCCCAAAAGGGGGGTAAAAAAGAAAGCCGTAAATTTTTTTTACAAAAAAAGGTAGATTGCGGTGTCCTTTTTGGGCTGCCCCCCATAAATAGCAAGATTAAAAGGTTTCTTTTTGCTACTTCTACTTACACTTAGTCACCTACAAAATACATGTACAACGTTTATTTATACACACTCATCGAGTTTTTTTTCTTTTTTATTTTAACTTAAAAGTTCTTGGGCTTTTTACTTTTCCTTTAAAAATCCATTGGGAAAGGGGGGAATAAGAAACTTTTCCCCCCGAAAAGGGGGCCGGGGGGTTGGGGAAAAGGTCAACAAAAATGGGGCCGGGGGGGGAAAAATGGGGGTAGGGGGGAACCCCCTTTTCCTTTTAAAGGGGTTTCTAAAAAGAAAAAGAAAAAGGGAAAAATTTTCCAAAATGGTAAGCTGGGAATTGGGGCGTGGATTTGTTCAAATATAAGGGGAAAAAGATGATTGTGGATGTTATGAATGAAAAAAAAGGGTGTCCTGGCTTTTAAGGGGAAACAAAAACTGAAGGGGGGGGGAGATTTTTTTAGGGAGGGAATAAATGGGATTTGGTCAGGGGGTTTAAAAAGAGTTAGAGCTAAAGAAAAGTGCAAAAATGGTTTAAGGATAAGCTATGGCAGGAAAAGAGGGGCTACAAAAAGGGGGAAATTCAAGGATTTTTGTGGATTTAAAAAAAAGACTGGATGTATAAAAATGGGTTTAGTAAGGGGGTGTATTTCACCTGGAGAAGAGAAAGTTTAGGGAGAGAGAGAGATTCTGGGGAAAAGTTGAGTGAATGCGTTTGGGGGATTTTTAATCAAGTTTGAGAGTAATGGGGGGTTGGGAATTTCAATGCTAAAATGGGTAAAAATTTTTGGAGGGAGTAGTAGGTAAATTTGGGGGGCCAGGGGGAAATGTAAATGGGGAGCCTTTAAAATTTAGCTATGTTAGAAAGAAATTTTGGGAATAAGTAATACATATTTTATGAAAAAAAGGATAAATAAATATAAAAATTTTTAAGTAGCACGTAAGAAAGTAGTTTTTTTGGATTAAAAAATTGGTGGATAAAAGGTTGATGGGTTTGGCTCCAGGATTTTACAATTTTTTTAAGGGGCAAATGATATATCGGAAACATTATTTAGTTGTAACAGTTAGAGTAAGAGGGAGATGGGAAAAGAGGGAAAGGGGGCAACAACAAATAAGAGGGGGGTGAAAGGTATAAACCCAAAGGGGGGAAGGAAAATTCGGGGGGAGATATAACGAAAAATGGCAAAAGGGGGCTATGCAAAGAAGGTAGTGGGGGGGGGGGGTTTAAGAGGGGTTTGGGAAAAGTTTTTTAAAAAAGCAGTATAGAAAGGGGGCAGAAGTTTTTTGTTATAGGAGGGGGGGGGAGGAGGAAAAGGGGGTGATTGGTGGGAAAATGGGAAATAAAGGGGTGAAAAAAGAGAAAAAGGTAGCTTCCCAGAGGTTTTTAAAAAAGTCAGAAGTGTTTTAAAAGAGCAGAGTATAAAGGAGAGTAAAAGAAAGGTGAAGAGAGTGGTGAGAGAGTGCAAAAAGGGGAGCAGATGAAAGAGTGGGAAAAGGCCCCTGTCAAGAAATTTTAATGAAAATAAGAAAAAATTTTGGAGTGAGTTAAAAAAAATTAAAAAAGCCAAAGGGGAAAATATGGATTTTTCAGTTAAAAAAAGAGTAGGGAGATAGTAATTTTGGGGAGGGGAGGTATTAGGTAGATGGCGAGAATAAAATTTTTAGGAACTTTTTAAAAGTTTAAAGGGGAAAGGGAGGCGGTAATTTCATGCACGGCCGGGAGGTATACCACTTTTAGGGGTGAAGAAGAGCAGAATGAAAATGTGGTGGGGGGTACGTGAGGCATTTTTGTAAATGAAAGGGGGTAAAAACAGCTTGGGAAATGAGGGATCAAAGACAGAAATTTAAAAGCAGGGGGGGTTAGGATTGGGGGGAATTGGGTTTTTTGTTTAAAAAAATGTATGAAAGAGGGGGAAAGGGACCTAGGGGTTTGGGGGAACCCTTTATATTTCCCTTTAAAAAAAAAGGGGGAAAAGGGGGCAAAAGAATTGTAAAAATTAAGAGGAAAAAGTTTACTTTAGTAAAACCAGGAAAAAATAAACGGTAGGGTTAAAATTGAAAGAATTAAAAGGGTAAAAACAAATTAGAATTGCGGACGAGCAAGGAGGCTTCAGATGGGTAGGGGAGGTAACAAGTGTTTACATTGAAACAAATATTTTGAACAGTATTTAGATAAAGGGAGGGAAGTTTTTTATTGCAATTTTTGGATTTAGAAAAACATAAAATAGAGTGGAAAAGAGGAGCAAATGTGGCAGAAAGTTTTCAAGTAATGGGGAAAAAGGTGGGGAATTACTAAATGCGTAAAGAAACTTTTATTAGGGTAGTGAGGCTCGGTTTGGGTGTGTAAAGGAGGGAGAAAAAACTTCCCGGTAAAAGTAGGTCTTTTTGACAGGGATTTGGGAATGTCACCAAGGTTTTTTTAAAAATATTTATAGATGGGGGTTTTAAAAGAAGAAAAAGCTGGGTGTTCGGGGGAGGGGTGGGGAAATTTAAATTTTGGGGAAACAAGTTCAAAAAGGGAATTGAAAACCCGTTTTTCTTTTTTTCTGAAGATACTGTTTTTATGGGAGATTTTTAAAGAAAAATTGCAAAGGTTAGTGGATTTATTTGAGAAAGGGGTAAAAAAAAGAAATTTTAAAAAATGAACAAAGAAAAGAGTAAGGGGAAAGAGGGTATCAATGAAAAAAGATAAAAAAAAAATTGGGATATCAAATTTGGGGGGGAAATATGGAAGAAGTGAATGTTTTTTGAAAATTGGGATTTTACGTGCGGCGGAAAGGTTTATGAAGGATAGGTTAATCCCTAAATTGATTTAGGGAAAAAAGGGGAGGGTGCGTTGAGGTATATGTGGGTTTAAAAAACGTTAAACTATGGAGACAAAAAAGGGAATGTATGTAAGTAATAGTACCAACACTCCATATGGATGTGAAGTTTTGGGGGGTAAATGCGCAGCGAGGGGACGGTTTTAGGCAGTGGAATTCCTGTCTAAAAGGGAAAAAAGTGGTGTAAAAATTATTTCAGAAAAAATTTGGAGTGTGGAAAAATTTGGAAAAAAGGGGGGATTAATAAAACATTTCCGGGGGGCAGAAGAGGGGGTTTTTGAGGTGGGTTTGGGGCTTTAGAGAGAAAGGATCAAAGAAAAATGACATGGAAAGCAATAAATCTATAGGGGGAGGAAAGAAGGGGGAGGGTTCCTCCTCGAAAAGGGGTTGGGAAAAAGGGGTAAAAAAGGTTTTTTTGGGCGAGGGGCTTTGGACTTCCCGCAAGCGTGCTTTTAGCGATTTTAAAAGGGGTGAATTTGGGGACAATGATACTTGGGACCTGACGAACCCGTTTGGGGTGTGAAACAGGGGAATAATTTTGTGACCTAAAGATCTGTTTTTATGTGAACCCGGGTAAAATTTAGTGAAGGGATTCAGGGGAAAACCCTTTAATTTTTATATAGTCGGGCTTGAATTTCCCGGAAAGGGAAAGTACAATGCCTGCACTTTTTAAAAGGGGAGGTTTGGGATATTGGCAATTTGGAAGGGGTATGTTGGTATCTTTAAAACTATATGCTTTTAAAGCGTTGTATTCTGGAGCACCTCGCCCAAAAAAGGAGGGGGGGGGAAAAATGTTGAAATTTGGGGAAAGTGTTGAAAAGATGATGAAAGTATTTTCTTTTTTTTGGGGGTTTTCTTTCTTTTCCGGGTCACCCCCTCGGGGGGAAACGACCGCTTGGGTTTAAAAAAAAAAATATATATATAAATTTTAATATATATATATAAATATATATAATTTTAAAAATAAAATAAATATAAATATATATATAAATGTAAAAAAAACCACTTTTTAAATAAAAAGAAAATTCCAACGCTTTTGTGAAATACTCCCATTAAACCCAAAGGGGAAAAAGGAACTAATAGTTTTTCCCTTTATAATGTGAGTAGGTTTACGAAAGCGCTTGGAATTTCTCTATTCTTTCAGAGTGGGTTTTTTTTGCATATTTTGAAAACACCTGTTTTACTGTGATCTTAAATTTCATAAAATATATATAAAAATATATATATATATATATAAAATATATTTTTATATATATAAATATTTTATATATATATATATATATATATAAATGTCACCCTGCCTCGGTGGGAGACGGCCGACTTGTTGAAATAATATATTATATATATAATATATATATATATATATATATATATATAATATATATATATATATATATATATATATATAATATATATTTATTATTTATATTATATATTATATATATAAATATATTATTATATTATATATATATTTATATATATATATGCAAAAGATAATATTTTAAATGAACGAAAGTGTACTTTCGTTAATCGTATGATGGGCTAGTTCCTTTGTGTAGCCGTATGCTTTCATGCTACCCTCCATGGGAGGGGGTCTTCAGTAAGCTAGCCACTAAGGCGGCATACATGAATTCAAGACACTTGATTTCACGAAAATTATATTTTAATAAAATATAACATAACAATCGTCATATAAACATTGAATCCATATCATAGTTGGTGCTGGCTTCATACTGTGTTGTGGGTTCAAGCTGCAGTGCTGCCACTGCTTCTTCGTAGGTTGGGAGTCTATCTATTTGCAGCTGTTCCACTGACAGCTGTATTTCACTGGCTGAAGCGTACGAATACAGAGTTTCTGAGATGAACGGAGAATATCTCCGAGGTGGAGAAATGTGTTGGTTCGATGTCCCTGACTCAGCTTCATCTAGATCTGGCTTTAATATGTGACGTTGAACTGTATTTGAGGTATGCTTGTCAGCAACCTGGTCTTCCTGAGAGTCACCAGATGGTTCCTCCAGCACTTCTACAGACAATATGTCTTCGTATGACGGTGGAGCATCAGCGTACACCAGTGGGCGGCTGGTGCTGGTGGACGACCCTCTGCTATTGCTCCTGCTGTTGGTACCAGAACTCCTGCTTCGAGGATTGTTGCTGAATGGTTTCCAGCACACCCCTGCTAAGCTGCATACTAGCAGCACTATCAGCACCACCATCACCATATCTGTAAACGGTAACATATTAAAACAAATTTCTTCATTTGTTAGCATTGTTTTAAAGCTGTAAGCTACAATTCCTTGTAATATCAATAAAATACCGGGAATATTATTATAGGAAGTTACAGAGTATCTGATTATATTTTTTATAATATAATTGTTGTTGCTGCTGAATCCCTTCCACAGATATATATTTAATAATGAATAGTTGTTTCAAAATATTATTTTAAGCATAATGCCCTAAGTGACACGCAAATAATTATTATTTTTTTTTATATTTTGTTTAAAACAACACAATACATTAAATAGATAAAAGAACACAGTATCAGTTCTTACACAAAATTATAAATTTCATTGTCTAAATACACACAGACGATTAACGTTGTGCTGTCACAACCTGTCCCTCATCCCCTATGCATTATATCCCATACACCTATGTTAAGCAAGAATACACAAGACGACATGACAATATGCATTATTATTATTATTATAAACAAAGAAGACCCAAACCTACAATCTGCATTATTTTTTCCACTTTGTTATTTATATATTAATAATCCTTCATACAGAATTCTTATAAATGCCATAACTGATTCTGAAAACACACTTTTAAATTTTTATATTTCCTTTGCACTTGTCACGATTAACCGTTAATTTTGATAGATCTGACCTGGCAAAAAAGTTTTTAACTAATCTTCCCCCTTTCACCCCGAAGCAAAAAAACTAATATCACCAACAGATTGGGATAATACAAATTTTTACTAGAGTTCTCAAATTTTTACATTGCTATTTTTGACAATGGAGTGTATCACCACCCCAAAAAGAATGTACATTATTATATTTCCCTAAAAAAAAACAGAAATTTACTTACATGAAGTTTTTTTAATAACCACTAACTTGTTTATCTGATATATTATGAACTCAGCCATAAAGATAAATTAACCTAGTCACCAGTTTACTGTACATTGTATCATGTTTTTCCTCAAAAATAACTCCAAACACAGGGAGCCTTCTTATCGTTGAAAAAAATTACATCATCCCCAAAAACACTACATTTACACACATGCACCTCCAAACCCAGAGCCATTCACACTTTGAACACCCTGGTGTTCTTGTGCCATCCCTGCACCAACTAAACGTTGCACCATTACACAAAAGTTAAAAAAACAAGCTAAGTGAATACAAAATTAAATATTATATAAAACTTTGTACACAGAAACAACACAAACACTTTTTTTTCCTTTAAATTTTTTTTGTGGCAAAATATACAAACTTTTACCATCATCCATCAATGATACATTACTAATTTGACACGGGAGTGCTCATCATCCAAAAGTAGTTAAAATTATTTTTTTCCCTAAAAAAAAAACAAAATTACTATACATTAAAGTTTGTTAAGAACCACGAAATCGTTCATCTGATAAAATTATGATCTAAGCCAGAAAGTAAATTAACCCTGAACACCTTTTTTACCTGACATATCTTGATTTCCTCAAAAATAACGCCACACACCGGGAGCTTTCTTATTTTAAAGACATTACTTTTAACACACACACTACATTCACAAACATTCACCTCCATACCCAAAGCAATCCAGACTTGCACACAGTTTTACTTTTTTCCATTCCTACAACAGCAACCGGAATCAGACTACAAACCACCCAACCAAAATCCGTTACACTACAAAACCATCCACCCATGTCATTCGCTAAAACCATTCCCATACACGCCAACCACCACTGAAAACCCGTGAAAACCCGACCACCAAAGAAAGCCAGTCCCCTACAATGGTTATCACTGTACCATTGCAGGAGACGACTGACTGTAAGCTCTCTGTAGTTCTCTGGAAAACAAGCTCCCCAATGACTCCCTTAAATAAGTTTGTTCCTACCAGCAGTCCAGTATATACGCGCTGCAATTGCCTTAAATTTGAATCCTACCCCCAGCATCTCTCTTCCCCAGGAAATATAAAAGAAAATCCACTACCACATACATAATCGCCCTTTTTTTCCTCTCGTGATAACCCCTTTTAACCTCTAATGTTAAAGCTCGCAGGGTCTCTACATTACCCCCACCTAGCAGACAAAAAACCCTCGCCAACCACATCCGTACTTCCTCAATTCTTCACAAAAATAAACCGCATGAAATGCCGTTTCCAGCTCACCACACTGACTGCAGGACGGTTCCCTCACCAAACCCATTAAACTCAAAACTGCTTTTGAAGCTAGGATCCCCATCATGAATCTGTATACCAACTCACATACCCTAGGGATTAACCTGAGCCTCCGGGAAATCTTCCCATAGCGTCCCCCAATCATACAATGGATAGACCGATACCCCTGCAGGATTTTCCGTCCCCCCACTCAATGATACCAAACGCCCCACTTTAAGTCGCTCAACATCTTTAACCAATAACAAAACCCTCAGCATATCCTCACATTCAATTAACTCTTTACCTCCCCACCATCCCCTTGCACATCCCCCATCACCTTCCCCACTCTTACCCCTCTTTCCCCTCCAGCCCCAATGCTAAAAGACCCACTCACCCTCTGCGCACATTCAACATCACCACTTCCTTGCTCACCATGCCCTCCCAAAGCCCCAAACAAACGTATAGCTCGTCTCTGTATTTCTTGTACGTCCTGTGTTCTCAAAGGGTACACTTCCGCTATAACCCCAAACCTTACTGTAAACCAGCGAATTAACTATTACCGCCCTCTGCTGTAATGTGACATCTCCCGCCCGTAAACCCCTTAATCTACTCATAAACTTTTCATACCCCCTGAAATTTTTCCTCCTAGCCTCGCGAATTTCGCCATGTATAAAACTCCACAAATCTTCAAATTATCCACCCTTTCCCACCCAAAATCCAACCCCAAGCCCCCCCCCACCCAAGCACCCACTCCATAAACAATTTCGCCCTATTTTTCTCTTATGCCAGACGCTTTCCCAAAAATCCCCAACACCCTCCCACGTAAAGCAATCCCTCCACTTCTATCAGATAGTGTATCATCCACATACCCCACAAAGCCTAGGCCCCTTCCTTCTTTCCCCCTTTAAAGCTCCCACCCCCTCAACACCCATAAAACGATTTGCATCAAGCAAACAGAATTGTGAAAAGGCCACCCCTGCCGTATCCCCTCCCATTTAACCCAGCCTTCCCCTCTGCCCTAAAATTGGACCCGTACATAGCCGATGAGTAAAGTTCGACCCACCGCGCCATCCCCTCCAAACCCCAGACACAACAAACAAGCCCTCAAAAATTTTCTATTCACACAGTCAATGCATTCTCCCAATCAATACCCAAAAGTCCTTCCCCCTCACAACCCTCCAAAAAGTCCCTTATGCCCCCCATGCCCAACTCTAAATACTTCATCCGGTAACCCATCGACCCCCTATGTACAACCCCACCAATTACCTTCTTCATCCTATTATCTATATCTTTGCAAAAATCTTGTAGTCAGAACACATTAGTGAGATAGTTCTAAAACGCACTTAAAACACTCCCACTTGCTTTTTTTCGAACCAACGACACCACTTTCCCAAAACTTTGTGTTCTGACTTAGCTTTCCCTCCCCCACATACAATTCATGGCCCCACCAGACAAGTCTTAATATGCTCCCAATGAACTCTGTAAAAATCATTTTGAAATTCCATCAAAGCCGGGGCTTTTCCAGTACTCATGTTAAACACTGCCCCCCCAACTTCCCCCACACTAATCGCTCCTCCCATCTCCATCCCCCTCCACTTCTTTCTGCCCTAACCCACACCCCCCCTCCAACACTTCCTCAAAATCATCGCCCTCCCCCCCCCCTTTCTCCATTTCTCTCGAAACCAGAAATCAGTATAATTACTCATGCCTTCTGTAGTAGTAAGCACCTGCCTTAGATATCCACCCATATCCTCGCTCACCACTAATTGCAAAATAGTCCGACTCCTCCGGCCTTATACCTAGAAACGTCTTAAACACTTCCCGATGGTTTTATCCCCCCACATACAGCCTCCAATCCTGCCCATCAACTCACACGGCACAAATCTGTCATTGGTATCTCCCCCACTCTACCCTAAGTTTTGCTCCATCGTCCCGATACTGCCTCCCCACTGCCTCGCTCAGAACTCTCGTCAGCTTACATTCAAGTAATTCTGTAACCCATACCCTCCACTGGCCGTCTTCCGTCCCCTCTTTTTAAAGAAATCCAGCCCGAAAAACCCGCTATAGCTCACTACTCCCACATTCCAAACACAAACCTACGACCCCACAATCCCTTGATCCCCAAAAAGATTGCCACCAATCCCCAAACTGCTCACTCACTAACCCCTCCCCCTTCACAAGTCTCCTTTAATTTCCCAATAACCATGTGTATCCTAACCATCACCCTCCCAAACCAAAACCGGGCAAAACCCGGCCCTGTGTCCAAAAACCCCACAATCGAGGTCCTAACACACAAACTCGTATTGCCTCCATAGCATAGAGCCTATCCAGTCGTGCAGCATAACCCCTTTGTACAAATGTAACTCAACCCGTCCATCCACCCCTCCCCACTATCATCTATAACTCCCATATCCCACAACACATTGCAGTAAAAACCCCAACACATCCCCCCGGCCCCCCTCGGTTTTCCACAGCTCACCTGACGTATTACACAATTCCAATCTCCTCCGATCAACAGTAACAAAAGGCAAACCCCAGCAAAAAAGCAAAACATTCCTCTCATGAAAGTTACCTTAACTGCTGCTTTACCATCCGCCGGCATGTATCCTCCTATAAAACAAACGCCTTGTCTCACCCCACTCTCCCTCTAACCCGCACCACCCACTTCCACCCCCACCTTCCTCCCACCCCAACAACACGCAAGGACTGGTTTCCTTCACAAGCCAGCCACAGCAACCCACTCCCTATAAACCTCAACACCCGATACCATCTCACAAAATAACTTATACCCTTCAAGCGCAACTCACCTTCCAAACTTGTAATGTATGCTCCTGTATGCATACATATATCCACAAC